GTCTGCAAATAGAAAACAAAAAGGAGTCTGGTTTCCAAAAGCGCTACTTAAAATCTAAGTATAGGAAAATAAATATATAAAATAAAATAGATCAGGAGTTACAAAAAAGGGGAAAAGTAAATTATACACATACACTTTTCCTCAGGCAGACTGTTGAAGATGCATGGCTAGAATGACCCAAAGAGAGGTCTGCACTGGAGAACAGTGTTCAGAATACCAAATATGATTGTGATGGGCTCTCTAGTAATAAAGACAGGAAGGAAAGGAAACTATTTGCAAAACATAAATAGTATTAGCTCAGTGCAGCCCCTCTAGCCAATGTCTCATAATCTACTTTTATCAGATGCAAACAAAAGGAACAAGTTGTCTCCACGTAATAAACTTAAAGCAGAGCAACAGTACTCTTCAATCATGCAAGGTACCATTTCTTCAATGCAGGGACCATTCCTCTTTCTTCCTGATCGTTCATATTTCTTTGTTCTAGGCAGAGCTCAGGTTCATTCCTGAGATAGTTTCTTCACTTTGGAGTCAGTTGCTCTTCCTGGTATTTAAAAGGTCTCTATGCCTATTACAGACCAAACTGACAGGAAAAACATCTTTAAGAAAAGGGGAAAACCAATAGCGCTCTCTCTAGGCTATTTTCATGTGTTTGGTGTGCTGCTGCTTCCCTAGCTGTACACACTACTTTGCTAGTTACACAGTACAAGAATTATGAGATGTGTAAGATGAGTAAGAAACTCCATATTGGAGACAATAATGACATGTAATGTTGAAATGAGGGATATGATAATAGATGAAAGTTTTTAATGGAACTTCTTAAGAAGTGGTTTTAGGGCTGACCTTATTTAATATTTTCATTAGTGACCTTGACAAAAAAATTAGGATTGTATAATGAAATTTATAGTTGATATAATGTTTGGAGTTGTTATTAAAACAGATGAAGATCATGGTGTCACATAGATGGAAGTGGAAGCCCTTGAGAACTGATGTAATAGAAATGGAATTAAATATAATAGTACAAAGTACAAGATAATGCACTTGAAACTAATGACAAGAAATTCTGTTAACATAGAGCTCATCAACTGGAAAAGATAGTTGCTGTGGCAGTTAATCAAAGGATAACTATGAGATGCCATTGTGACGTGGCCATGAGAGACTAAATGTAATGCTAGGAGATCTACCAGCCAGACTGTATCACGTGAAAAAGGTTAATACTTGTTGTACTTCTGATCACTGACAATGTGGATTTAGTAAACCTGAATGGATTTCTCTTTCATCAGCTTTTCCAGTCACAGCTTGAATGTACAGAAACTTTTAGGATTTCCAACACTGACTTTTGGCAAAGAGATCCATAAATCCACTATTTGCTGCATGAATACATAACTACTTTTGTCTATTCCAAACTTGTCGCTTACTAGATTTTTTTGATGCCCTGTACTTTTACTGACGGAGACAGTGGAAAATCTATCCTTATTCATCCTCTCCATGAAGTCATGATTTTATAGATCTTTATTTTATTCCTCCTTAGTCATCACTTTCCCAGTTTATTCTTTTCTTGTGAAAGCCATTCCATACCCTCAGTCATGATCCTCCTCTGAACCTTTTCTCATTCTACCGTATCTTTTTTTACGGTGGCAGATCAGAGTAGGCATACTATTTAAGATGTGGTTTCTAACCACTGAAGTGAGGATAATGCACAACAGAATGGGTTTGATAACCAAGATCCTTTTAGTCCTTCTAGTTTCTTTGTTCCTGAATAAAGAGTAGGAAGAAGTTTAATTAAGACAAATATATTTCCTAAAGAATTTGTAAAGGTGCAGTAGAAAAAGGTTCATAGCAAATTTACTAACATGAGTTGGGAAGAAGAAAATGTTTGGTTTCAGGTAAGATGCAGTTTGGGATCGCATTAGCTACCTCTGATGATGACAGTCTGCAAGAAAAAATTAAGATTGTATCTATATCTCATGTAATCAAGACAACATATTCTTTATCAATAATTTAAGTTAAAATTTAATGGAACAGTGACTCCTAATATTGTACAGAAAATAATGTTTTAAAGGACATGTGAAGGTCCTGTGTGTGAAAAATATACAAAAACAACATAGATGCTTTTCTGGTGGCCTCAATGAGCAGTGACTCATAGACTTGCCTGAAATGGAAAAAAAAATTAAAGACAAGTGAAAGTACTTATACTTGTGGCACAGAACAAGTTGTTCCTTTGCAGAACAATAAGTGTAGATTTATTTACATTGGATAGAAATGCTGTTCTTGGAGTATTACTCTCAACTGCTGCAGATGTGTTTACTAAGCAAAGTTACAGCTGTGCATATCAAATCTATTTTCACTAGACATGGTCTATCAGCGACAGCAATATGGAGCAATAGATCATGGTTTAGTAGCCCTAGTTTAAACAATTTGTAGTAAAGTACGGTGTAGGCATATCACTAGTGGACCCCTCTACCTCAGCCATTGGAAAATGATGTCAAAATACTTTGGCGGAAAAAGGTGCCAAGTCAGATGTAGATCTGTAGTTAGCACAGTTAATTACAGAATAGCACAAATGAAACAAAGGATGTTACGTTTGCATTCTGTTCACTGGAAAACTGAATGTCTGTACTGCCAGAAACTAACGTGAGGGTCACTGAAGACCAAGAGACAAATAGAACAATACAAAATACTGGGTATGATTTATGATCCTTGAAGCTCTCACCTTTTTTTGAAAATGATGCTTTCTGTGTTATAAAAGGTAGCAAGTCATAAAGGCATTTTTGACAAAAAAGATAGACAGAGAATTGTAGGAAGTTCTTATGCCAGATGTATGGCTATAAAAACAAGAAAAAGGCAAGAGTTTCTCAAGGAAGAATCAATTGTCAAGGACATTTGAGATTAGTTTAGCTCTCTTAGTCTCTTTTAGCATTTGAGATTAGCTTTGTTAATTAGCTTTAACAATAGATTTCTTATAAGTACTTGAAATTCTATTATCTTAGTGCCAATTGTTAGTTACTGTTACTACTATGTTTGGCTGAGAAAAAAGTTCCAGTGTGAGCATTTTGGAATTGGACTGTCATTCAGGCACTCAGGCTACGCACTATGCTAACCAGCAATAACTCAGATAAGGAACAAAGTGGAGCTAAATCACATTTCTTCACAGGCAGAGGGGAGAGGTTGGAGAGAAGATTTTCCTTCATTTCTTCCAGTGCTTCAGCCGTCAGTACTGAAGGGCTGGAAGTCATATGAAAGCCAGATCCATAACATTTGAGGAAGGGATAAGGTGAAGAAGATTAGGTCAGGGAAAGACAATGGAAGGTGAAGACAGTTATATTAGATGGAAATCGAGTCAAATGACTTCTGGGAAGAAACAAAACAAAAAAGGAGAAATGCTTAATTTTCCAACAACTCTACTAGATAATGTCATATGTTCTTGGTGTTTTATTCTTGCTTTAAAATGCTGTGGTAATGGACATAGCTACTTTGAAATATAAACAGTTTTTATGGGACAATCTGAAAGCAGTGACAAAAAAAAGCAGTTAACCTGTAGAGCATTGCCACAGTGTACTTTCAAAGAAGGGAAGTATAACATGTACATAAGAAAGAAAACTATAATTTGGGAGATCAACGTTATTCTTCTTTCATATCTGTCTCTATTTTGAGCTATATAAATTAGACTTTTTCTAAAAATATATTGCTACTGAATTATGTTTTGGTTTGGTTTTGTTTGGTTTTGGTTTTTTAAGGTAAGAGGGCCCCCACTTGCAGGAGCATTTAAAGAAAGACCAACAAAGCCCACAGCATTTCGCAAGTTTTATGAGCGAGGAGACTTCCCAATTGCCCTTGAGCATGATACTAAAGGAAACAAAATCGCCTGGAAGGTAAGTCATGGCACAACTGTGACAGCCAGCTGAGCTTATTGAAGTGACATCTCTCATTGTCAAACAAAGTTAGCTTGTAAGTAAATAAACTGAAATAATTTCTTAGCAAATGGAAGATGGTGGAAAAGCCATTAGAGAAAGGCCCCTGAGTCAGCTGTCTACCTTGGCTAACAATTAAATTATATGCTGCAAAAAGGAAGATGACAGAGTTGCTTTGCCTTAGAGAATTGTCTCCTGCCCAATTCATCTCTATTTTTATGAGGACCTGGCAATGCAGCCTGTTTCAGGCAGTCCATCAAATGATGGAAGTGGCTGGATACAGTGAGCAGCAGCCATTTATCTCCCCCAAATTTCACCTTCCTGCAGGACACTTCCAAATAGAAGCTTTAATTACCTAAATGGATAGGTCAAGATTGCCTGCTCCCTGAAAATGCAGAGCAGAATACAAACGAAGGCGGATTCTCATTCCACAGCTGTACTCTCAGTCTACAGCATATGTCAGACAGCGTAATCGCTGTCATACGTGCCTCTGTTACAGGCTGACCTCCACTGCTGAAACCATTACAGCTACGACATTTCTCTGACAAAAGGTTAATTGGCTTCAAAATAAATGTATTGCCTAATGACTCCATTCTAATGCAGCTGTGTTTCTCTCTAAAAGGCTTGGTGATGTTATTTGTAAAACTTGCCAATCTTCTAAGTAACTACCGCAGACTTTTAAATTTAATTTGAAAAATGAATGCTGATCTTTAACCTGCTCCTACTATTTAATTATTTTGGTTATCATGAATTACTTTATTTTTTTGTGTGATTTATTGGACTAGAATAAGATTTTGCTGGAAGCAGTGATAGTTACAGAAAATGACCGTGGTATGCATGAGCAAAATATGTCAGAATTGTAGAATGTTTTAAATTGTTCATGTCAAGAACATGATACCAATTTTAAATGTATAGCTATGTTAATTCAACACAAAAAGGAGGGATTTTGCAATCTTATAGCTGATTCTACTCCTAATGAAGCCAAGAGGATTAGACCTATAGTGTGGTAAGTGGTACTATATAATTTGTTAGTAACTAGATTTTAAGGTAGCTTTTTAGCGTATTGAAGTATAGAAGAAAGATTTGTGCTACTATTTTGTTGCCCATAGCAGTGTTGAATCAGCACAAGAAAAATTAATATTTCTTGCAGCAAAAGGATTCTCTATCCAACAAGACTTTACCCATGATCAGAATGAGATTCCAGTGCAACTGGTCTTTAGGCAACCCTAGAAATGCCCTTTCTGGACTAAAACTCACAGACTTACCACATACATCTGCACTCTAATCTTTCATCACCAGCGAAGATCGAAAAGTGATTTGCAAGCTACTGCAAAAAAATCTGCAGTTTTTACCTTGAAGCATTATAACTTCTAATTTCTCAAAATCAGACTGAGAAATACAGACAATATACCTCATTTTTATCACTATTTGATGCATGTATTTCCATCGTAAGGACTAGCATTCCACTAGATGATGCTAGTGATTGCTTAGTTGACACAAGGAAATGGAATGAAGCTGCATCAGGGGAAGTTCAGATAGGACATTAGGAAAAAGTTCTTGACTGAGAGAGTGGTTAGTCACTGGAACAGGCTCCCCGGGGAAGTAGTCACAGCACCAATCCTGTCAGAGTTCGAGGAGCATCTGGACAACACTCTTAGTCATATGATTCAGTTTTAGATAGTCCTGCAAGGAGCAGGGAGTTGGACTTGATGATCGTTGTGGGTCCCTTCCAACTTAAGATATTCTGTGATTCTATGCCATCTTGCTAACTTGCTATCTACAAGCCTTCCAACCACAGCTGAATGCCTAGAGTGTTTGCTCCCTGTATCTAACTGTTTGAATTGTCTGAAAACATGCTACCTTAAAACAGTCACAACAGCAGTCTGTAATCCAGCACGCATTAACGCGATTTACCATCTTACAGACCTAATGTCTCCCCAGTCTCCACCTACCACAGTAAAGCATTGGCATGTAGCTAGTGCAATGTAGGACCGAGATGTCACGCAACAGTTGCTTTTGCTATTGCTGTTAACCCTTTCTTTCGAAACAAATTATCAGTACTTCAGGATGCATGCAAGAAGGCAGCAGAGTAGTGGACTGTTCCATTCTTAACATTAGCACATGGCAGAGTCCAGCCTTATTTCCCTTATTCCATGCCATTTGATTTAGTCACAAATCAGTCTAGACTGAGTTTTGTGGCAGGCACTCAAGAAAACGATACTGAGGTACTAGAGTTACGTGAGGCTGTTGTTTAATTTGGCATGCAACCATCACTGACTATTGTGCGGTTTAAGTAGATGAAGCAGGCAAATAGGAGTTTTCTAGTTCAAACTTTACATTAGATGATAGCTTCTAAAGTCTTAGAGGCTGCCCATCGCTGCAAAATGGTGAGAATGTTGTTCATCATTAGCTAATATTTAAAGGAACAGATAAAGTAAGGTCTGTATTTTTCACTTGTTTTAAGGACATGTGAATAGTCAAAATATCCAAAATACATCTAATGACTAATTTTCATCAGTTCATCATATTTAATTGTAGATCTGATTAAATAAGTAATTTTTTTAGAAATATATTTTATTCAATACTGCTTAAATTCATGAAAATGAAAAAAGTTAATAATGAAATGTGTCTAGGCAAAATGTTCTATAAAATCTTGGCTGAACTATAGTTATTTGCATGAATCATCATTCTAATGGAAGAATAAAAAGAAGAAATAAATGGTAATAGCAATATTTTAATCCTGCTCTAATTGTACAATATCAGTGTTTTATTGTGAGAGGGTTTTTTTGCTCTGTTTAAATATAATGTATATCATGGTTTGTTTCACTCTTGTTAGCTTCTCTACCAAGTGGTGCATGAGAGAAAATGCAGGGGTCTCAGAAACATGATTTGTTCTCACAAAGGAAAATACTATAGGATTTTGTTCTTTCTTGCAAAATACACAGTTGGTTTTTGTTTGTTTCTTTGCTTGTTTTTTAGAATTACTGAAACAAAACAAAATAACAATGATTGTCAGACATTAAATATTTTTTTAAAAACATTTTGAGCGCTTGTTCACTATATTGTAGTTCTGTGGACAGAATACAGTAATTTTCAGCTACAACAGAAGAATCTGAAATGTTTTAATATCCTTGAGTTGTATTAATATGTACCAAAAAATATGCACAAATGACCCTTCATTTTGTAACACTTCTGCATATCCTTAATTTTAAGCCCATGATTAATTTCCTGTAAGGACTGGCTACCTATAACTATGGTTGTAGACCTAAATAAGAGATAAATTTAAAGTTCAGGAACTATTCAGAACTATTTCTGAATAACTGCATGTGTTGAATCTTAATTCTGAAATAATAGTACGTTCTGGTGGTTGTTGTTTAGCTTAATTATTTACAAAATGCACTAAATTTAGAAAGACGCATTCTTACGCCAAATTAATCCTAAACATAGACAAGATTAAACTGTGCAGATAAACCATGGTGTTTACCTTGGTGTCTTTTCTTAAAAAAGGGACCAAAGCAAATTAGATCTCACTCCAAGATCACTATAGCAAGGTATGTCTTGTATGTGAATTCTCAGACTAAATCTAAGTTTAGAAAGGCATCTCTTTGAATAGTCCTGTAATAGTGGCATTCTGGTTGGTAAGTTTTACTCTTATTGCAAGTTCAAATACACCTGTGTTGACCTAATGGAAGAAAACATATGAACAGATAAAATATGTTTACAACATATAAATCATTATGTACAAGAGGAGGAAATTGGACCTGGTTTTAAAGTATACCATCCAGAGGAAAAAAAAAAAGAATTAAAAAAGCTCTGATAATACCAAACTAAAATTATCTGGTGTTAGAGGCTGTAATCACATTTATTTCTAAAAGAAGAAGACATGGCTGTGTTGGTGTTCCTAATCTTTGTTTTCAAAACTGGAGAAAAGTTGTCCTTTTGTCATTTTCAAAAGGTGAATATAGAGCATGATTGTTAACTGTGTCTGTGAAAAGAAACTCACCATCTTTGTAACTCACTGCACAAATCTTTGGTTTTGATTACAATTAAAGTGAAAGAATCCATACAAAATGAATTCAAGACTTTTCATCCCCATTCAGGGGATCTACTGGCAGTCAGTGAATTCTTTGCTAAATGGCATACATTCAACATGATACTTTAGTATCTAATTTAAATCCTTTGTTTTCATGGTCCCTCAGTGGTCATTAAACAGAACTGTATAGATATTAGTGCCTTAAAATTGCTCCAAATATATAATACTCATAATTTTGATAAAGCAATAGCTTTTGAGATCTAGAAATTAACAACTTCTTTGGTTGAATTATTCAACAAATGTTCAAGGGTCTTTCCAAATTTGAAGCATTTGGTTTTGTACACTAACAGAGAATGAATAATAATGGTATGGTTTGAAAATGTGTTTCTGATGTGCGTCAAATGTGAAAGTTTGGAACATAAATTGTTGTTAATTTAGAGTTAGATAATAGTAGAAAGTGATCTTTTTAGAAAAAGTATGTGTTAAAATATTTATAAGCCCTTTGAGTACTTATGTGGGATCCTGCAGTTCTCTTTTAGCCTATGTATATCACAATTTTATTTCAAAATGTAGTAATATTTTCTTTTGCACAATCTCATACCAAGCTATGAATAATAAAAGCTCATAGTTCAGGTCTGAAAAGGACTTCCATTTTTAAATGTGCATTACTGAATTAAAAAAGGTCAGAATGCAATTAAACCTTTGACTAAGAAAGTTGATAAAACTGCGAAAGTATTTCTGAATTATTAAGAGTATGTTTGAAATGCAGTCTCTCTGTATAGTACAGAAAGTCATCAGAATGTTTGAAAAATTATTTTTTTAGGGAGTGGGGTTAATTACAAGTGTCATTATGCAGAGGGAAAAAGGCTTCTGTTCTTCAAACGAATTTTAGCAATTTCAGAGCAATGAAAACCAAATTCAAAACCAC